TTTTTTTTTTTTTTTTTTTTGTTTAATTTTACTCTAAAAAGCAACCATCTTCTTTCTTTCTTTTTAATATTTTCCTCTAAAAAGCATTTTATAATTATGAAAACGTTTATCATAAAGTCGTTGTATTATAGTGGTAAGTGCCCTCGTTTGACATGCCAATGACATGGGTTTAATATAAGACAATGAGATTTTTTTTTTTCTTTTTCTTTTTCAACTTGGCTCTAAAAAGCAACCATCTTCTTACCTTCCTTTTAATATTTTCCTCTATAAAGCATTTTATACTTAGATTATTATAAGGTCGTTGTATTATTATAATGGTGAATATCCTCACCTATTGAGAGACCCGTGTTCAATCCCTGGCATTTTTTTTTTCAAAAAAGGACATTATTTTATTAAAATGTTGTTGCAGTACAGTGGTGATTATTCTTACCTCTCACATGAGAGCCCTGAGTTCCATTCCTTTCAACTGCAATGATCAATTTTCATGGCTGCAAACGAGTCGCTGAGAGTTCCATTCCTTTCAACTGCAATGATCAATTTTCATGGCTGCAAACGCGTCGTCTCTCTCGGGAAGAGGTGCCATATATCATATTTTTTTCATCAAGAGTGTAATAGCCATTAACACGAGAATGATTCCCTCCTTTTTGCACGAAGAAAATTTGTCCATTACATAAGATTTGGTTGATGATTTTCTTTTTTAAAATTTTATTTAGAGGGTAGCATGGTGGCCCCAAAATATCATTTTCACCACCCAATGTCAAATAACAATAAATAAATAAAAGTCACTTTTAAATTTTCCATACAATTTATTTGTCTGCCTTTTACACAATTATTCAAAAGCAACCCAATTCAAAATGCTATTTTTTTCACTCTGTTTATTATCATTTGTGAGATATTAGGGTAAGTATTACGCCATTCCAACTCTGATAGACGTCGATTAATTCTCGAGTAAAAAAATTCAATATTCTCTATTTTTTTTAATGTGCGACAGCTTTTCAAATTTGACGATTAATTTTACTACGATTACGACTTGTTAAAATATAGAATCAATTCGAGGGTTTGAAAATGGTTGTTTCATTATCAGAGTGTACTGTAAAGCAAAAGGTGAGACAAGAACATGCAAAGGCTAAAAGACCAGACTTGATTTGGTCGCATAGGTTCTAATTGATCGAAAATAATAATAATAGATATTATGGAGCTCCCACTGAGTTTCGGAAAATGGGTTTACTTTTCTCTTCTTTTAATATAATATAAAGATGGAAATTGAGACGTTAAATTCACATGCCTTAATTTGATTCATGCTGTGTTCTATTGCAACACTCAACAACTATGTAACCCTTTTTTTTTTTTTTTCTTCTTTTGTTATTGGATGCATTCCATGTTGGGATGCCGACGTTGTTGTGTGTGGTATCAAACTCATGGATGGATGGGTATCACCAAAGTGCAACCAAGCTTTTGAAAACAAAATGGTACCAAATCCATTATGTTTGTAAAGTAGATGGTTTGATCCGGATTTAAGCATTAAATAACCTTTATTTTCCACTCAAAATGCATTAGTTTATATGGACCATATGCCAACTTGCATTTTCACCTTAATCATCAAAATTTAGTTGAGTGTTTACTTGCTTTGTGTCATTTAATTTAGCATAGTCATGTTGCAGCAGATGATGCAAGAGAATATATTTAGGCCATCTGATGCTAAATTTATAAAGTCGTGTGAGATCCCACATTGGTTGGAGAGAGGAACGAAACATTTACGTGGAAACCTCTCTCTATTTGATGCATTCTAGAATTGTGAAGTTGATTATGATTCGTAATGGGTTAAAGTGAACAATATTTACTAGTAGTGAGTTTGAGTTGTGTGTCACCGAGGATGTTAGGCCACTATGGGAGTGGTTTCTCTATTTGATGCGTTCTAGAATCATAAAACTGATTATGATACGCAATGAGCTAAAGTGAACCATATTTGCTAGTAGTGGGTTTGAGTTGTGTGAGGCCTCTAACGAGGTGGATTGTGAAATCCCACATCGGTTGGAGAAGGGAACTAGTGTAGAAACTTCACCCTAACATGCAAAAGCGGACAATATTTGCTAGCGGTGGACTTTTTACCAGTTTTATAAAAATTCTTAAATTCAACACACTTATCTTAGGTAAACCATATATTGGATAACTTTCTAAGAATTTTCCGAAAAAACATACAAATGAGGACTTACTCGTAGCTAAAGTGGTCATATAGCAGTGATGCAAGAGAATGCCAGAATCAGAATTCTGTTAAAATGGTAGAGATCGAGTTTTATAATTAGATACAAAATTGAAAAAATCCGCTTAAATAATTATAAACTAATTAAACCTACTTAATGATTCTTATGTGGTTAATTTTATTTGGGTTAAAAAAATAGTTGAAATTAAGAGCATTTTGACCCAAATTCAAAGGATTTTAGGTCACAAGTTTCGTTCCTTCAAGTAATTATAATTGAATTATATGGATTTAACTTAATTCAAACTTATAATTATTGAGTTTATTAGATCACATTTTTTTTATTTTAAATTTGTTATTAAAAGCTATTATTTCTATGGCTTATTTTCAAAGAATGAAAGCCTTGAGATTTTTACTGTCTTCACAATCATCATTAGCCGCCATGAATAAATTGTAATTTTGTTCAAAATAAATCAATAAATGTATTTCATAACTTATCTTAAAATTAAATTTCAATTTAAACCATAATTAAACCCGAGTTTGATAAAATATTAGAAAATCTACAAAATTAAATATTAAATAGAATTAAATTTAGATCCAATATTTACAGCTATATGAACGAAACATTCGGGAAGTGGCTGCCTCACCCCCACATTATTAGTGTTACGAATCACTCACGATTCACAGCGCTGTAATATTATCGCTTTAAGTTGAGGGTAATTTGGTAATTTAAATCTTTTTTTAGATTTTTATAAAGTAAATAAATCAAATCACATTCTAATATATATCTTTTTTTAAATATAATCTAAAAGAAAAGAAAATGATTATACACGAACGGGTTTTTTTCCCAAAACATTTTAGATTCTTTAAGAAAAAAAGAAACATTTTTAATCATTTAAATTCAGTTGCAAAGTGAATGATCCTGAATTTAGTAAGCTAATTGAGTGATTAAGAATAATCTTAATTATTATTCATTAAACTTCAAATCTTAATACTTTTCTTAAATCCTAACCGTTGATTATTTATTATTTCATTAATTAATAATTGAATTACAAAACAATATATATATATATATTTATAAAATATTATAGAGAAGAATATTATTAGGAAAAGGGTGATGTGATTCTTTTATGGAATATAATTTTTATTTTTTTAATCCATTAAAACTCATTTTTCTAATTATATTTACCTACAAACTAAAAAAATAATGTTTTTTGGTGGTCGCATTTTTAAAAAGAATAACTTTTAGAATTCCCATTTTTGTTTTGGTCCCAATTTTTTTTTTATTTACTTTTGAAAAATCTATAACTTTTTATAAGAAAAAAAATACATCGGGATAATCTTGCATAATTTTAATATGTTTATAGGCTGAAATACTAGAGATATTGTTCGTTTTAGCCTAGTATGTATAGCCGTCAGCCTCACGATTCTAAAACGTGCTTGCTAGAGAGAGATTTTTACACTTGTTACATTCTCGAGTCTTTGTTGACACACCTCCTAATGTTACGTATTGCCATATGTTAAAGGAGAAGTTTTTAGACTCTTTCACACTCTTATAAGGAATACGAGAGCCGGGTACGTTTGGTGTAGGGCATGGTCCCCTAGTAATGACAAAAAAATGAACAATATTCCCTTTTCTATGAGAGTAAAAATTTGAGAGAGGCTATTTAAGGGACTCCAAACCCAATCCTTTGTACACAACATTCAAACAATCCCCTTTATTATATTCCCCTGTCTCAAGAACATGAAAACAGAGGCGGAAAACAGAGGAGACGATCAAATTTTGGTTCATGATTCTTCTGTTGATCATAAACGACGGCTTCCGCTCAGAGCTTCCACCGGCGTCTGGAAAGCTTCCCTCTTCATCATCGGTACCCAATTTATAATCTCCATTGTTTTTACTTCAAAGCTTTGCCTTTTCATTCATTATCTTTTTGCTTCTCTTGAGACGAAGAGACAGAGAGAGAGAGAGAGAGAGAGACAGAGAGACAGAGAGAGAGGAGAATCATGTTTCTTTTCTTTAATGTGGCTGTCATCACATAAAGTCCCGACCACACGAGTTCAATCACATGAAAAGTATAAGCTAAAGCTACTATGCCTCTTGTTCTTAACTTTATGAATAATGTTCCATTATTCTTCGTCTTTTTGGTTGCAGCCATTGAGTTCAGTGAGAGGCTGAGTTACTTTGGAATAGCTACGAGTTTGGTTATATATCTCACCAGGGTCATCCGACAAGACCTCAAAACAGCGGCTAGGAATGTTAATTATTGGACTGGCGTCACCACTTTGATGCCTCTGTTTGGCGGCTTCTTGGCCGATGCTTATTTGGGTCGTTTCTCCACTGTTCTCGTTTCAACCATCGTCTACCTCTTCGTAATAATCCTTTTTCACTTCTGGGTTTCATTCAATTTATCATTTTGGTTAAGATTTTTTATCATGTGGGTAAAATGCAGGGGCTGTCTCTGCTGACATTGTCCACTCTTGTACCAAGCTTGAAGGCTTGCGGTAGTGAGCCCTGCGATGAGCCAAGGAAGCTCCATGAAGTCTTGTTCTTCACGGCGATTTACTTAATCTCCGTTGGAACTGGTGGGCACAAACCATCTCTTGAGAGCTTTGGCGCGGACCAGTTCGATGACGATCATGCAGAGGAAAGAAAGCAAAAGATGTCGTTTTTCAATTGGTGGAACTCTGGGCTCTGTGCTGGTGTCATATTTGGAGTGACGTTAATTGTGTATGTTCAAGAACATGTCGGCTGGGGCATGGCTGGTGTGATTCTCACGTCGGTTATGGCAACTTCGCTTGCTATCTTCCTTGTTGGAAGGCCGGTTTATCGGTACAGGGCGCCATTAGGAAGCCCTTTAACTCCTCTGTTGCAGGTTTTAGTGGCTGCTTTTACAAGGAGAAACTTGCCTTATCCCTCTAATTCTGCTCATCTCTATGAAGTTCAAGCTACAGACAAGGTTCATGGGAGGCTCTTGACTCACACAAACAGACTCAAGTAAGACTATATCTCTGTTAGTAACTACTAATCACTTCTCGATATTGTCCATTTTGAGTATAAGCTCGAATGACTTTGTTTTTTTGAGCTTTCCAACTATCCCACCGGGGCCTATGGAGCCCTCAAACAACCTCCTTTTAATCGAAGCTCGACTCTTTCTCTTGAGTCATCGAACAAAGTACACCCTTTGTTCGACACTTGAGTCACTTTTGACTAGAGCCTCATAACTTATTTGTTCGACATTTGAAGATTCTATTAACATGATTAAATTAAGGAAACGATCATAGATTTACAAGTAAACAATACATCTCCATTAATACGAGGTCTTTTGGGAAATCCAAAGCAAACCCACGAGAGCTTATGCTTAAAAGTGGACAATATGAGTGTTGATTTGTAATCGTCCAACTCCGGAAATTCCTAATTTTGAGGAAGTTCTAATGAAGTAGTTGAAAATGTACAGATTTTTGGACAAAGCTGCGATCGTGGGGGAGACAAGCAATTCAGCTGGAAAACAGAGTCCATGGAGGCTTGCAACAGTCACAAGAGTTGAGGAATTGAAGCTTGTTCTAAACATGATCCCAATTTGGATAGCTTCCATACCCTTTGGAATCTGCGTGGCGCAAACTTACACATTCTTCATTAAACAATGCGCAACACTCGACAGAAAAATCGGCAAGACATTTATCATCCCGGCATCCTCCATGTTCTGTCTGGCTGCCGTCGGCATGATCATCTCCGTCGCCATCTACGACAGGCTACTCGTCCCGATCCTCCGCAAAACAACAGGCAACGAGCGAGGCATAACCATTCTCCAAAGGATCGGAATCGGAATGATCTTCTCGTTCATGGCAATGTCGGTGGCCGGCCTCGTCGAGCGAAAACGACTCGGCGTAGTAAAAGGCAGCCCAACAAAAGGGTCGGGGGCGATGAGCGTGTTCTGGCTGGGTCCGCAGTTTTTAATCATTGGAATTGCAGATGGGTTTGCATTGGTGGGGCTGCAAGAGTACTTTTACGATCAAGTTCCTGATTCCATGAGGAGCCTTGGGATAGCATTTTATTTGAGTGTTAATGGGGCTGCTAATTTCGTCAGCAGCTTGTTGATCACGGCGGTGGATCGGATCACCGGTAAGAGCAGCGGCGGGAAGAGTTGGTTTGGGGACAATTTGAACACCAGCCGTTTGGATCATTTCTATTGGCTAATTGCAGGAATTGTGGCCGTTAATCTGTGTTTTTTTGTGTTGTTTGCTCGCCAGTATGCCTATAAATCCGTGCAGAGGACGACGGTGGCTGATTGCTTCGACGGCGACGGCAAAGCCGGAGGCGTAACTTCAGCGGTTTGAAAAATTATTAGCAGCTTTTATAGTTTCTTTTCTTTTTTTTTTTAATATTTGTGTATTTGTAAATTAATGGACATGCATGTAATTTCACTTTATATAATATATATTATATAATTTCCATTATTTAATTAAATGGAAAATTGATGATATAAAAGTGGGTGCTTACGTCAGTTGGATGGTAAGTGAAGTTTAAACTGTAACACCGTTCCGTTCCGTTCCGTCCCCCACAAGCAAAAGATTTTCATATTTCTCTCTCATTAATTACTAAAAAACAAAAATCTGACTCAGATTCAGATTCACAATCATAAGTATCTATTTGCAAAACCCTAATATTTATTAATTCAAAATAATAATAATAATTAAAAAAAATAATACATTAAAAGTCATAGATCTCCCCGATCCAATGATATTGTCCACTTTGAGCATAACCTCCCATGGCTTTGCTTTGAGTTTCCCCAATAGGCTCGTACCAATAGAAATAGTATTCTCCATTTATAAACTTATGATCATTCTCTAAATTAACCAACTTGAGTCTCTCCCAATAATCCTCGACAATCCTCCCTTCGAACAAAGTACACTATAAGCCTCCCCCTGAGGTGTATGGAGCTCTCGAATAGCCTCCCCTTTATCGAGGCTCAACTCCTTTCTCTGGAGCCCTCGAACAAAGTACACCTTGTTCGACACTTTAGTCACTTTTGACTACACCTTCGAAACTCACAATTCTTTGTTCGATATTTGAGGATTCTATTAATATGGTTAAGTTTATGGCATGACTCTGATACCATGTCTAAAAGAAACAAAAAAAACATTTCTTATTGGTCCAATGCCTTTTATAGAAAGGCCAGGTTAAAGGGTATGTATACGAGTCCATCTGATAGGTCTATATGCACATATGTGAACCGTGTGTGCCCACGAATATGTATTGGAGTCTATGAAGTACCAAGTAGGAAACTTTAAATTAATTAATTTATAATTATGAAAAAGAAAACATTAAACCCATGTCAGAAACATCTGCCACGCAGCTTGGTTCATTCATTACCGGCTTTACCCGGTTTCCCTCCGGTGGTTTCCCAAACCCTATCTCCTTAACCCAACACAACCCAGAAATGCAATTCAAACCCAACGAATAATTTGTTGTCTTCTCTTTTCATGGCTGACGGCATTGAATCCTTCGACCATGTCCCTCAACAGAGCCGCCGTGATAAGCTCCGAGAACAACCCGACCGCTCCTCTTTCCTCCCTTTTTACGACCCCTCATTAATTTCCTCCTCCGACATCCTCTCCGCCGCCGCCGCCGCCAACAATCCTCTTTTCCAATTCCACCACCCCTTCTTCGACACACAAATTCCCTCTTCCCTCTTACCCGATTCCAACAACTCTGTTCTCTTAAACCATTGCTACGCCGCCTTCAAGCCCGAACCCCTCTCTTTATCTCTCTCCTCTCACCCCTATCTGAGTACTGTTAATGTTCCTCTTGGACCTTTCACTGGGTACGCTTCCATTTTAAAAGGGTCGAGGTTTTTGAAGCCTGCTCAGCAGTTGTTGGAGGAGCTCTGTGATGTTGTTGGCCTTCAACGGACTCAATCCTCTTCGGCCACTTCCGGCAGTTTGAGTGACTGTGGAGTTGTTCATCATTCCCTTGCTTCTAACAAATCTACCCTTGTTTCCATGCTCGACGAGGTACCATTCAACATTTTTCTTAACCATATTGACTTGAAGTTTGTGAAAATTGGATCCCAACTTACATTGGGTTTTGGGTTTTGATTTAATTTTTAATTACTTCCTGTTTATGGGTAATTTTCTAGTCAGATTTTACGTTGAAATGATGGCATTTAGTATCATTATAATCAATCATGGACCCCAATTAGCACTCTTTGCATGTTCTTGGGAATAAGAAATTAGGGGAAATTAAAATGAATCCTTTGATTAGGGGATGAGTTATTCCTAATAATGTTATATCTAATCTAATCTATCCTCTGCTTTAGTGAAATATGCATTAGATTCGTGTCTGTTCTTAAAGGATTGATGTAGCAGCTTCATCTCACATGAATTCTTCTCTTTTTGAAAAGGTGATTACAGGGAATATATGCATAAATGAGTATTGGCCTTCTAAAGTGTGTCTGACTTAGTTAGTACCCATTGCATGAAGTTCTTCTCTTATGGATATCTTTTTTTTTTCACCATGTCTGGGCATAATGTGCTTAATCAAAGTGATTGAAGGAATCCATTTTCTCTAAACATTTTTACTTTTCTTCCATAAAGGTGTTATGAACATAAATATATTCCTTTTGTTTTTTAAATACTATGATTCATAATGTTTGGAGTCTATTATTATTGGGTTTTTTTGTGGGGTAATTCATTGTGTATTTTCTGTTTATGAGCGTGTGAGATCCCACACATATGTTGGGAGGAGAGAACGGAGCATTCTTTACAAGGGTGTGGAAATCTTTCCCTAAGAGACGCGTCTGGAAGCCCGAAAGGAAAAACCTTGGATTGTTACAATGCATCTAGAGAGGTTTCCACACCCTTATTATGGTCGTTATTTTCATGGAGTGACTTCTGTTTTGTTCGTGGTCATGATCTAGGTTTACCGAAAGTATAAGCAATACTATCTACAAATCGAGGAAGTGATGACATCGTTCGAGTACATCTCCGGGCTCGGGAATGCAGCGCCCTATGCCAACCAAGCTATAAAAGCCATGTACAAGCATTTCCAAAGCTTGAAAAATGTAATTCTTGACCAACTTAAATTCAATAAAAGGATTCATGGTGGTGACTACAGTCAAAGATCGGTTCGAAACCCGGGATTTCTCGACCATCAGCCTGTTTGGCGGCCGCAACGAGGACTACCCGAACAAGCAGTGACGGTTCTTCGTGGTTGGTTGTTCGATCATTTTTTGCATCCGTAAGACCCCCCCTTAACCATATAACCATAGTATTTTGATCCAAGCATAAGAGTAATGGGTTAAATGTTTTGGTTATTGAGGATTTTGTTTGGTATTGTTGTCTGTTTGGGACAGTTATCCTTCTGATACCGACAAGCTTATGTTGGCTAAACAGACTGGTCTGTCTCGTAGTCAGGTCCGCATTACTTTGTCATTTCTAAATATTAATCTTTTGCTCTAAATAATAATAATCATTGTACTCTTTGACACAGGTCTCTAACTGGTTCATTAATGCAAGAGTGAGGCTTTGGAAGCCATTGGTTGAAGAAATATACAATCTTGAAACAAAGCAAACACAGAAGAATTGCCATAGAGAAGAAGATCGAAACGAGCATCCTCCATCGCGAAACGAACCTCATGACGTACCAATGGGGATTCAAGATGAGCCCTTTAACATATGTTACAACTTGTCAAGCCATCCCCATATGGCGAGCAACAACCACAACGGCGGAGTTTCCTTAACTCTTGGCCTTCACCAGAACAATGGCATTGGCGGCTTCCCTGTTGGGTACGTAATGGGTGGACATTTTGGTAGAGATGTTGTCGGAACTCAGCTGTTACATGACTTTGTAGGCTGAAATTCATTGTGTTTGTAAATGGGTTTCCTCTAATTAGCTTCCTTCTCGGAGCTTGAGCTGAATGGAATTAAGATCTGACCCTGTTTTCCTGACAGAAACAGAGTGGAATGAGCGGGCCCACATGTAGTATTGGGCCTTTATTTTGGTCTCTTTAAACAAGACTGTGGGAACCCATGTGTAACGGCCCGACCGTGGCAACCAATGTGTAACGGCCCATATCCACTGCTAGCAGATATTGTGGGAGGTCACAATCCACCCCCTTCGGGGCCCAGCGTCCTTACTGGCCTCTTTGGGCTTTTCCTTTCGGGCTTCCCCTCAAAGTTTTAAAAGTTAGGAGAAGGTTTCCCATCCTTATAAATGGTGGTTTGTTCTCCTCCCCAACCAATGTGGGACATCACACAATGTGTTGTGGGCCGCTGTAATGGCTTGAAAGCCAAGTGGAATAATTTGTTTTTTTTCATGAATAAGGTAAAATGTGAGGGAAAAAAAGTGGTCAAAGAAAGAACAATCTGTGTCCCAAAAAAAAGGGAAGGAAAGCTTGTTCCATCTTGCAATTGGCAAGGGAAGAACAGAACAAACTCATAATTGTGTTACAGCACCTTATCATGTGTTTCTCCTTTATGCACGCTTTTTCTAAAACATATTAATTTCCATTTTAATTTTTATATGCTTTGGAATATATATGTATATATATATACATATATATATATATATATATATATATATATATATATTCAAGGCTATAAATACCCATGAATTTAGCATATGAACATCATCTCCTTCTTCCCCCACTCTCTGCCCCTTGTTTTGGTCTTGGAATTTATTGGGCAAGGATAGGGTAATCTGCATCCTGAGGTTTAGATATTGTTCTTGTCTAGCCCTCGGGTTGCAGATTACCTCTTCCTTGTGGGCAATGTTGGATTTGACAATCAGATTATGAGCTCCCCTGCAAGGTGCGTATGCTGTTTTGGTTCTGGTTTTTAGTGGTTGTATGAAGAGATGGAGATGATTTTTTTATTCAACTGTTGTTATAGGTAAAGTTATACAGAAGTGGTAGCAGAAATGTGTTTGTGTAAAGATTTAAGCTTTGTGGGGAAGCCCTCCAAGGGTGTGTTGATCGGTTTTGAAGCAGTCTGTTGCGTCTTTAAAGATGAGGAACTCCATGGTATCCACATGGAAGGAGATGAAGGTACCACATACATGGGTAATGCAGCCTCCAAACGCTTCGTCCAACCTCTAATTAGCAAAACCTCGAAGTCATTAACATCATCCACACACAAGGAGTTGAGTGGTGAAATTTAAAGCACTATATGAACCTGTTTGATGAAACGTGCAATGGATTGAGAGTCGGAAACTTCGTGTTGATCGAGTGCTTTATAAGCCAAGGCAAGGCCATGGCCCTGGATCACCTCTGCCATGTCTGTTTCGCGGACCACAGCTTTGCCCTCTAACATCTTCAATACCAACCAGCCTGCTGCAAAAGCCTGCTACCATGAACCACTGCGAATTTATAGCCCAATGTCAGAGAAATGAAGTGAATGGTATCATTTGATACTTGGGTTTAATCCCATGGCTGTGCTTTAAGCCCCAAATCATGATATTTCCCTGCTTGCTCTCTGTTCTTTTACACTTTGTTTGCATTAGCAGGAGTTAAATCAATACAGTTGTCACACTAAAATATCTTCTCATAAACACTTACTTTTTGTGTCTAATCTAAACATTATTTCAAAGCTTTGGACGCTTTGATTGGTGGCCTCAGATGTCTCAGATAGGGATGTTCGCGTTTGTGTTGGGAGTTGCACCTCGCAGCTCACACCAATAATGGACGACACGGGGCCAAGGTCCTCGCTGTCACGCATGGTTCTAACCAATGTGAGATTTTACAGTCCAGAGCTAAGAAGTTGTGTTCTACAACTTTACTCATCGCAGGCCTCAAATTTCGATCTTCTTTAACACATAGTAAACCAACTCGTACCAACGTCTCAATCTTCAGCCTATCCTGCCTCTCCGCAAGCCTTGGATCGATCACATCTTCAATCTTCCCTTGTTCTATGCTCTCCATCATCCACCTCACCAGATGGAATTTTGATGCACATTTGCCGCTCACAAGCTCCAGCAAGACGATGCCAAAGCTGTAAACATCAGCCTTCGCATCTATTTTCTGGTCCATCATCCATTCTGGCGCTAAGTACCCTCTCGTTCCTCTCACCCTCGAGAAGCCACTTTCCTTAATTTCTCCAAAAAGCTTCGACATTCCAAAATCAGCCACTCTCGCCTCCAAACCCTCGTCGAGGAGTATGTTTTGAGGCTTCACGTCGCAGTGAAGAACCCATTCCAGACATTCTTCATGCAAATAGGATAACCCCTTTGCTGTCCCGACAGCAATGTCGTACCTCTGCTCCAATCCTAATGTTTCTGATGAATCCGAGAATAGCAATTTGTCCAGTGACCCATTTTTCACGAACTCATAAACTAACATCTTGTGGTGTTTCTCAGCGCAAAAACCCCACAATTTCACTAAGTTCTTGTGGTTTATCTTTCCGATGATGCTCACCTCTGCCCAGAACTCTGCTTCTCCTTGTAAAACGCCTTCCAGTCTCTTCACTGCCACGGCCCTTCCATCGTCCAATTCTCCTTTGTAAACGGTTCCAAACCCTCCTTTTCCGATCACTTGCTCGAAGTTTCTCGTCGCCCGATTCATTTCTGCGTATGTGAATCGTTTGAATCCCACGGCTAAAACAATGTAACCCATGTTAACCAACTCTTCATTAACTCGCTTCTGGAACACATTCCACCACCCAAATCCTATAAAAATGAACTCAATGAACCCAACAACACCTACAAATCCAATCATTAATCCCATGTATCGAAACTTAGCTTTGTTTTCTGCATATACTTGTGTGGTTGGAACGAGTTCTGAAACAGAGCATTTCAAATCTCCTCCTTTCATCTCTGCTACTCTGTTTTCTTTTGGAATCTTGATATGCATTAGAATAATGCTATCAGGTTTTAAATTCCCATTACGAAGAGCTCCTTTAGGAAAGCATTGTCCAAATCCTTCCATTGAGTATCCAAATCCCAAACATTGACAGTTCTTGAGACATGAATTCCTACATGTCTCAACAGAGACACCTCTGGTGTAACCCACCAAGTCATAGCCATAATAATCCGTACGAGGAAGATGCATGAAATCCAAATTCTGGGAATCACAGCTCAGATTGAAAGAAGGTTTGCAGCCTTTACTCCAATCTGAAGCATCGTTTCTAGTGAAACCAGGAGGACATGTGCAAGTGGGTAATGGATTGTATGAACAAATTCCAAATTCTCCACATAACCCATGAACCAAACAAGCATCTAGTTGACCCATTGGAAGCCATGATATGTTCCAAGTGCCAGTTGATTCAACAAGGCTATACAATCTCAAAACTCCGTCGTAATCCATTGTTAATCTCCTTTTCGGACCGAACCCATAATCCGTAGCATTGAAATTCAAGTTGTCAGTGGATTCAAACCTTCCCATGTCATTTAAAATTGCTACTCTGGAGCTGTTATACCGAGTTCGACCATTTTCAAACACACTCCTACCAGGATCAGGCCAGTAGATACTCGAGAGCGAAGGGCTATTATAAATGAGATTTAGAACATTGTCGTCGTTGAATTTCAAGAAATAGAACCCAGATAGGTAAGTACCTGGATTTCTCATTGAAACCAGAGTGGAATTCTTGAGAAATTGTTGCTGTGGAAGCAGAGTATCTGTTGGGGAATCGAAGCTCTGCCAAATAAACCCTTCGTTTTGGTTCATCAGCACAAGATTTCCATTCTCAAGAAGCCGAAGCTCAACTTGTTCTGTAGTGATTGTGTTTGAAGACCATGTGAGGGAGCCATCTGCATCGGTGAGTATCAGATTTCCGTTGGCTTTGAGGATCAATTTGGATTGGTGTCCGTTGACTGGGTTGTCTCTGTTTGCCATCCAAACGACAGTTTTGTCGGCGCTTTTTGCGAACCAAATTGAATAGCAGAAGGAATTGTTGCCGACCTTGTAAAACCCAGATGAAAAGGTTCCATCTGGGGAAGTTAGGAATTGAGTCTGGTCTTCGACGGCTATGGATCCTCCCTGAGTTAGCCTCTGGAGTTGTGGTGGAGTTGGTTCAGCCGGAGCCGAGAACGGTGAAAGAAGAAGGTAAAATAGAAGGGCGGAGACGAACATTATGAGGTTGGAGAATTTTGAACACAAAAACTTGCAGAAATGGTGGCCTTTGTAAGAGAGTTTGGTACCAATTTAGAAGTTTTGGAATGTATTCATGTAACAACTTAGTCTTCCTTTTTGGGTCAATGGCCGATGGGAAGAAGCAATATTAGACTTCATTGGTGGAGTAGATAGCAAGTTATCTCCGCTTTAACACTTGCACTTCTGCTGCGCCCAAATCTACCGGTGGCTGATATTGTCAATCTTCAAGGGAAAGCCTATCAACCCATCTTTAGGCTTGTCCAATGGGCTTAAAACGCATCTCCTTTCTTGTAAGGGTCCAAGTCTACCGGTAGCAAATATTGTTCTCTTTGAGGGAAAGCCCATCTTTAAGTTTGCCTGATGGGCTTAAAACGCATCTCCTTTCCTGTAAGGGCCCAAGTCAACCAGTAGCAGATATTGTCATTTTTAAAGGAAAGCTCATCTTTAGGCTTGCCCGATGGGCTTAAAACGCATCTCCTTTCCTATAAGGGCCCAAGTTCACCCGTAGCAGATATTGTCCTCTATGAGGGAAAGTCCATCTTCGGGCTTACCCGATGGGCTTAAAACGCATCTTTTAGAGTTATATAGCAAAACCGGCACTCGTCCGAATACTATCCTCCATGGGCTTTCCCTTAAAGTTTTGGGCTTCCCCATTACGCGTATACTAAGGAAAAGTTTCCACATTTCGTTCTCCTCCCCAATCAATGCGGGATTGTGCAATCTCACATTTACCACGACATTAGATCTCACATAGGCCAATAGAATAATATCCAATAGACATAGACATGCACATTATTGATATAGGTAACGAAACCTTTCTTAGTCATATATTCTTAAGATAGTTCAAACTTGATCTCGGTCATCTCCATTCATTGATGTACTCATGTAATCAAAAGATAAATAATTAAAATTAATTCGAAATTAAGATTCAAATCCTCTTAATTAGAAAGAAATACAAACTATACAAATTTCTTAATCATAAACATCTCCATGAACGTCTGGTTCTTCTGGTTCTTCGCAGCATGCAAGAAGCTCAACAATTGTACTCATCACAGGCCTCAAGTTCCGATCTTCACGTACACATTGAAGACCCACTTTCAGCAACACCTTCATCTTCTTCATTTGATCCTCCTCCACATTCAATCTCTGATCCACCACCTTACCAACCTCACCATCCTCAACGTTCTTCATTATCCACTTCACTAAATCCACGCATCCCCCGTCGTCGCCCGTGGTGGACGATCGAAAACTAGAAGCATTCTTCCCAGTAACAAGCTCTAAAAGAACAACTCCATAGCTATAAACATCGGCCTTTGCATCAATCTTAAGGTTCATCATCCATTCGGGAGCCAAATAGCCTCGCGTCCCACGCACCTTCGAGAACCCACTTTCATTAATCTCTCGAAAAAGCTTCGACATCCCAAAATCCGCAACCTTCGCCTCCAAGCCCTCGTCAAGAAGTATATTCTGTGGCTTGATATCACAATGAAGAATCCATTCAAGACATTCTTCGTGTAAATACGATAAACCCTTTGCTGTTCCGACGGCGATTTCGTATCTTTGATCCAAATTTAAGGAACAAGATGAGAATAAATGTTTGTCCAATGACCCATTTCTTACATACTCATAAACTAACATCTTGTGGTGTTTTTCGGCGCAAAAACCCCATAATTTCACTAAGTTTTTGTGATTGATCTTCCCGATTATGCTCACCTCTGCCCAGAACTCTGCATCTCCTTGTAAAACACCTTCTAATCTCTTCACCCCCACGATCCTTCCATCGTCCAATTCGCCCTTGTAAACAGTCCCAAACCCACCTTTGCCTATCTCTTGCTTGAAATTTTTGGTAGCTCTCTTCAATTCATCGTATGAAAATCTTTTAAACCCCATAGCTAAGACGACATAACCCATATTAACCAATTCTTCACGAACCCTCTTACGGAAAATGAACCACCAACCAAACCCAACAAACACAACCTCACTCACCCCAATAGCCACCACCACACCAATCAATAGCCCCATGTATTCAAATTTACTACCTTTCCCCCCTTCCATGTGAGTGTTCATAACAAGCTCTGTTTCCATTGAGCAATTCAATTCATTAGAATATGTGTCCATTGTAGATTTCACCATAGCCTTCGGCACCTTCAAGAACATCTTCACCGCAAGATCCGGCTTTCGATACCCATTTCGAAGAGCACTTTTGGGATAACACTGCCCCGAGCCATCAAGTGCATAGCCAAATCCAGAGCACTCGCAGCTACTAAGGCAAATATTCCTACACACTTCAATGGAAACGTGCTGCGCGTAACTCCAATCATAGCCGAAGTAATCCGTGTTAGGCAATTGAATGAAATCCACTTCCTTGGACATTGACTCACACGTCAAATTCATTAATGGCTTACACCCTTTAGTCCAATCTGATGAATCGGCTCTGTTAAAACCAGGGGGACAAGAACATGATGGAAATGGGTTGTATTCACAAATGCCATAATCTCCACACAACCCATGAACCATACAAGCATCAACACGCCCATCAGGAACCCAGGTGATCTTCCAAGCTCCAGTGGCTTCATCCAGGCTATACAATCTCAAAATCCCATCATAATCCATCGTTAATCTCCTTTTTGGACCAAACCCATAATCCGTAGCGTTAAATTTGAATCTATCACTCGATTGAAACCCACCCATTTCGTCTAGAATTGCAATTCTTGAGCTATTGTAAGGAGTTCGGCCATTTTCGAAGACAAGCACCATTGTGTAAGGCCAATAGACACTAGAGAGGGAAGGGCCATTATAAATGAGATTCAGCACGTTATCGTCGTTGAATTTGAAGTAATAAAAGCCCGATAGATATGTTCGTTGAGTTCTCATTGATATCAAAGTTGATGACTTGAGAAATCGTTGCCCTGGAAGCAGAGTATCAGTAGGGAAATCAAAGCTTTGCCAAATGAAATGTTGTGATTGGTTCATCAGTACGAGGTTTCCTGTTTCGAGTAGTCGGAGTTCGATTTCGCCGTCGGAGACTGTGTCGGTGGACCAAACGACAGTGCCGTCGGCGTCGGTCAAAACCAAATTGGAATCGGCGTTGAGGGTTAATCGAGATTGCTCTCCGTTCACCGGTTTGTCTCTGTTAGCCATCCATACAAGTGTTTTATTGAAGCTATTAGTGAACCATATTGAGTAGCAATAGGAGTTGTTGCCAACGCGATAAAACCCAGAAGAAAAGGTTCCATTTGGGGAAATTAGGAAGTGGTTGGCGTTCTCCACCGCCATGTAGTCGCCGGAAGTCAGCCTCTGCAACGCCATTACCGGCGGAGGAGGCCAAACAGAGAAGAAAGCAAGAAGTAGAGGAATCAACATCTTGAGCAGTTTACAGTAAGCTAAGTTTTGGAATGGAATTTATAAGAATTGAGAATTTAATTTAATTTTTGTGGGTCAATAACTGGAAGGAAACGGCAAGAGCTTAGGCGATGAATGGTAAAAAATGGCTGCCTTTTCCAAAAATGTCACATTTGGAAGGATCTTCACTGGAGCTTCATCATTAAATATTAGGGTTCTTGACTTTGAACATTTCATGGCATTTCCCTTTTTAATTCGAATAATATATTAATTAACTGAGTTATATTTATGCTAATACTAAGTATCGATAATGCCTTTAAATGAGATTCATATTAAAAAATAGTCAAATTTTCATTTGAAAGGGATGCAAAAGAAATTATAATTCATAAAGTTGAAGTCAATAATGAATAATGAATAGATGATAAATAAAATTAGAATGTTCATTTAATATGAAATAGGAATTGATTGGAATTAATATTCAAATCATCCCAGTTGGAATTGAAATTCTCATTGAAAGAGATACAATTTTCGACTTTATACTTTTCATTTTTAAATATATTAGTAAAACGACCGTGAATTGTATTCTTGAGAAAATTTATTAATAACATTTTAATACGAATATCATATATGATATATATATACATGTGAGATCCCATATCGGAGAGAACGAAGCATTCCTTTACAAGTGTAGAAATTTCTCTCTAACAAAAACGTTTTAAAATTGCTAGGTTGACCATTAAGGGTAGATATTTGAACGGTAGCATACAAATTTTTTTTAAAAAAATTAAATGATGCAACAGTTAGTCCCTCGAAATTATATATAAAAATGGTTGAAATTGTTATGTACCTGAGGACTGAAAGTTGGTTCAACTTGAGCGAGAGATGAAATGAATGCGAACTCCATGCTTTATGGCGCTAATACAAGAGAGTAAAGAGCGTTGCGTTACAGTCCTGCAGAGATGCAATCACCCCAAGGTACACAGCCACTTACGCCTTCCCCTCTATTACTCAAAGAATAGTTAAACTGTACAAAGAAATGATTTTATATACTGCTCATTTCTGAACAGAATACAAAAACAAAAAAATTGGCCTCTTAGTTCAGGGAGGACTTTGTTGATTCTCGCACTTCAAAAGAGCCAACCGTTGAGATCTCAAGTAGCCTTGCCTGTTACTAAGAATATCGACGTAGCTTCGCAACCGGTATCGGTCAGAATTTGTTAGAGAAAATGGCGGGTTTAGAATGAGGGATGGTGCTTCCACGAGAAGGAAAACCAGTAATTGTGCAGCTTTTGAATACAAGCCAGCTGCACTTTCCATTTCACCCATGAGCTCCTCAACCTGTGCCAGTCGTCATATTACATCCAGAAATCAGTCAATCAATATCCCATGGAACATGATGATGATATCAGGGTAGAAATGCTTTTTGATGTTCTATACAGATGATACCAAATTCAGGCAAATTAGGAAACTAATAATATAAGTACTCACGCCTCCATGCCTTCCAAAAGCTAGAGCGGATTGAAACACTGTCTCTATTGCATCTGGCATTTCGGTATTACCTGCAACCATGCGTGCATCAGCAAATGGAGAACTTGTCTCTCCCGATCTAACTATTGTATATGCTTGCAATATTAAGATCAATAAAAAGAAAAAAAATGTAACAGATTGGTGACAAATCGAGTATGCGGGGACAAGACTGTTGCACAAACATGACTCGGATCTATGCCATTATATTCCAACTAGTACTAAAAGGCACACATTGCTCTTGGCATCTCCACACTGGAAGGCTGCCGCTGATATGTAAGCTTTTCGTTTTAGTTCAACAAGTGAGTGTGAGAGATTTGAATGACTAACCTCTTGGTTGACGGCACATGCTTTATGCCAGTAACCTATCCTCGGCTTGGCAATATGTATTCTGTTTTTTTAAGACTGACTTTTATGGTTATGTGGTTATTTTAGGTTTTGGGGTTGGCATTTCAATTTCAGGAATGGGGCCTTTTGCAGCACACTTTTATAGTTGAATTTGGGTGTTCTCTAGCTTGGTATGGTATTTTCATGTCCAAATTTCGGATCAGCAAACTAAAAGGGCGGAAAATGAATTATAATCCTACACGACTCTTTCGGTATAAGTTGGAAAATTTCACAATCAAAAACTTACCGGGCTCAACAACCTTGGCAAGTTCTTCAGCATATTCAACTTCCCGAAGAAATTCCCTCTCAACTTGAGTGGAAATATCCACTGGCTGAAGTGAGTCAACCATAAGCGGAGATCCCTTCCCAAGAGAACTTCCTTGTTTCTTGCGGAGGCTTCTCCTACTTTCTGCAGAGCCTTGGCCTGGACTTCCCTCTAAAGCTGAAGCAGCCTGTGTGTGGCATATGTCCAGAGCTTTTTTCCAGATTGCAAGAATAACAAGCTGAATTGAGAATGCTTCAAGCTGTCTACCTGCAGTGATCTTTTAAAATAAATATGACACTGTAAGTTTCTTATGCCATATGTAGTCCTTTTAATTAGATTTTAGTATTACAAAATACAAGGTAACTGCACATATAGGGACATCCAACAAAGACCAAAAAAAAAAAAAAGCATTTGAATACTAATCCAACAATAGTGCAAGGATAAAAGTACTTTGCTCATATCATAAATAAGGAACAGAATAATATCTTTCTATTCTTTTAACCATCGAAACCTAACATGCATGGAATTATAAGAATGAAACAGAGGCACTTGACGTAAGAAACTATACATGGAAATTTTTGTTAGACACCTAGACCTGGGAGAATCATGATATGTTGTACTTCTCACAATTTTGTATTGGAGTCCCACTTCGGTTGGTTAATTAAAGGGAAGATCCTAGGTACCGAAGTAAAGTCACTATCTCTATTAGCATGAGGCCTTTTAGGAAAACCAAAAGTAAAGTCATAAGAGCTTATGCTCAAAGTGGACAATATCATACCAACGTGGAGGTCCGTTGTTCCTATTAGCGGTATCAGAGTCATGTGCTTATCTTAACTTAGTCATGTTAATAGAATCTCAAGTATCGAACAAAAAAGTTGTGAGCCTCGAAAATAATATATCTCAGATACTCAGAAATCTTATTTCTCTCCCCACACCCTCCAAACAGAAAAGAGAACAGCCCACAGATTTTATTACTGGATGGTAAAAGAAAGCATTTAGCTTTTACCAGCAGAAAATCGACTTACCTTCTCTTTTACTAATTCTGTAATAGTAGATGCAGACTGCTGCAATGACTTGATTCTTGCCGTGCAGTTTGCAGATGGCTGTTCCAAAGTATCTTCCATATCCAATGACCCCGGAGCAGAGCTTTGACTTCCCAAGCTTCCCATACGAGAGCTGCTACTGGCAGCTTTACGAATGATAGGCATTGGTGCAGTCAATGCAGCACCTAAACTTACGGATGGTTGAGTAGGACTCTGTGATTTGCAAGATGAAAGGATTGGCTTGGAAGCACTTGCTAAGGAAGATGAGGCATAATCATCCATAGAGGGTCCAGATACAAGAACATAATCTTGATCAATCAACTCCAGTGAATCCGCAACTATGATTCCGGAAATAAAATTTAAGGGGAAAAATACAATAGTAAGACATTCTGGTTCTAGACAGCAAAATCCCAAAGGCAGATGGAAAACAATATACTTCATACCTCTAGGCCGAGTATTAACTGATTGTGGGTTTGCAGACCTTAAACCGGCATTCAGACTTCTATCAGAGAGTATATTTCTTCCCTGAACACGAGTATCCAATAGGGGATTAGTAATCTCCCTTTTATCTGGAAGGCTACTGTATCTGGAAGTACTATCTCTGGTCCCTCTATCAACCTTTTTATCAGGGGAAAATCCATAAGTAGACTTCATTGAAGACCTCCTCCTTACAAAGGACGGACTTCCCTCAGGACCACTGGAATCATCGTCTAGAGAGAAAGGTAGATAATCATCTTGTGAATTTTCCTCCATGCTACCAGCATGATCAGATTCTGAAAATGGAAATCCATCCACTAATCTTGATGACCTCTTACTTCTGTATGCATATGGGTTGAAATTCTATTATTTTGATAGCATAAACATTGATTGACAAAAACTGAAATCGCTGCTTATTTACCCCAACAATTCATCTGGTTGATTAGCACACAGAAAGGGGTGATTAAAAAATTCTTCAAATGTCAATCGCTCCACTGCATATAAAATGACAATGAACAGAAAAGAATGAAAATGAGAAGAAATCCTGCGAAGTTAATAGGAGCTTAGCATAAACATTGGCAAGTAATACAACATGTAAGAATGTAATTTCATCAGGTCAATGAACAAACAAATAAAAGTAACACCCGTGCAACTGGTGTTTCAAGAAGATCGCACATTCCCTTGCCATATAACATAAATCAAGAAATGTCTACTAGGATACCAAAAAGCTGGTCATTGGAAGGTATTGCAGCCAATAGAAGAGTGAGAATTCAGGCCAGCAACTTGAGCACATAAGAGTAGCATTCACATCATAATCTATTTCATTTGTACGGAAAGATAGATATTTCTTATTGTCAAATAGCTTTACCTGAAGCCATTTTTAACTGCCAATTAAGATACAATCAAGCTGAATTAAATTCCACCTCTTACATACTACTTATAGCGAACCAGAAGGTCAGAAGTTGCTAAAGTAGAAATAGAGGCATCTGATATCAAGGTACAGTTAGTTCATCGTACTAAAGCACTCATTCATTCTTCAAATGGAAAACCTCAAGATGTGACAATGCATGCAAAAAAAAAATTTCAAGAATTAAGCTTCCAAGCACGTTCTCTACCTGGATTTCGACGTAGTAATTTCCTGCACAAATCCTTGCATTCAAAACTCAAGTCATTAATATCTGAAGGGAAATGTAATTTTGTTGATTTGACAATGTTCTGGAGCAACTGTCAAATTCATAATAAAAATATAGTAGGTTAGGTGATGGTGTTCGAATATTACAAAAGCACTCTAGGCATGAAACAAAGAAAATATAAAACTAACTGTACCTGTATTTGGTTGTTTCCTGTGAATGGAGTTCTTCCTGTTACAAACTGAAATAATATAGCACCAACACTCCAGAGATCTGCCTGCGTATTCAGTTCAAGGTTAATATAATGAAGTTTGATTTCATATTACAATTCCAAAAAGTATGCAAGCATACAGACATTACCTTGGCATCATACTTCTGGAGTTGCATGATCTCTGGAGCCATGTAAAGTGGTGAGCCGCACAAGGTTTCTGCAAGACCTCTAGGTTGCAGAGATCTAGCAAAACAAATTGGAGAATATAAAGCTTGAATGAAGGGATTATAGGAGAATCATTTGACATGGCGATAATAAGTTCCAATGGGGGAAAACTTTCATTACCAATCACAAACTTAAGCACCAACATTAGTTTAAGCTAGAATCTTTATCTTGATGCCTAGTGAAGTACTTCTCTGGTGAGACCGATAACAGATATCACAACTATCTTTCTGTTGCTCTTCTGAATGTAAATATGAACAGTACAAGGACATGACATCATTCCATTTCACGATATGAAAATAAAGATTCAATATATCTGTAAAGGGTAAATGCGGGGAGAATCCATTCTACCTTGCAAATCCAAAATCAGCAATCTTCAAAACTGAATTGTCGCCACTTGTAGAAAGCAGGAGATTCTACCCAAAAGAAAAACAAGCCACGAGAAAAATGGAATAATTAAAAAGCATAATCAGCCCATCAGAAATCTAAAAGCGCGATGAATATTTATTAAGAAACAAAACTTTGACATACAATGTTGGACATTTGGCCATAACAAACATCATTCGTCCTCTTATTCAATATAGAAAAACCATCAAGCACATTCGACATGGCTAGCTTGATGTTGTTATCTTGCTAGCTGATGTACGTTTGCCCAATGGAACTTAAAAATGGAGTTTATTAAACAGCACTTGAAAAATGAGATATAACCAAGTGATTGGACTATGAATCAAAACCTGTGGCTTAAGATCTCTGTGAATAAGATTGTTGTCACGAAGGACTTTTAAGCCGGCCGCTGCCATTCACAATAATATCAATTACTATACTTCAAGAAAAATATATCCAAATTGCAAAAATCCCAAGACCCCTCACCCCCCAAAAAAAGGTTAAAGCATACCAAGCTGCTGCAAGAAGCGCTTAGCAATTGCTTCCGGGATTCTTCCATGGCGCTGCTGAATGTAAAAAGAAAGGTCACCACCTCTGCAGTACTCCAGTACCAGATGTATCTTCCCGGGAACCTGGATGGAGGTAAATGTCTCAACAAAAGCAGGAAGAAACTAGATATTTCTCTCAAGCTCTGTCCTTCACCTAATGAAGATATTGGAAGGCTAACAAAATCACCAATTCCTATGAATTCCATTCACAACACCTCCCCCGAATAACAAATTAGAAAAGAAAAAAACTAATGTTCGACCTAAAAGATTGCATGTCTGGTGCAACGGATTCCCATGGAGCGGAAAAATAATATAAACTTCCTATAAATGAGTGCACCCATTCGACCCTTCAGACCTTGTTGCCTACACCAAATACACCCAACCTAAAAATTGTTTCGTATAATACCTATTAAGCGAGGAAGCTCAAAAAGTTGAAAAAAGAAAACAGTATGTAAGATCTTTCCAAGGGTTTATGATTAATAGTGTACGCCGGAAGCTTCCAAAAATTCTCATCAACCATTCCTTCTATTTCAGCCGTTAATTTAAATTTGAACCCCAAACGCGACGAACCTTTCTCAGGACAATGTGCTCAGAAGATTTTAACCTCAACAAAAAAAAACCAAAAAATCGAGAACAATTGCACAATACAACATAAACTTCTCTACTCCATCTAAAATTCTCTAAGCATCGACGCATATAACTTCAAGAACTAAACACTGACCTCTACGATATCGTGCAATCGGATGATATTAGGATGATTAATCTTCTTCAAGATAAAGATCTCAGACATAAGACTATCCTGCAATTTCTTACTGAGCCGGCTCATGGAAATTTCCTTGATGGCCACCTCCGTTCCATGAACTCTATGTCTCGCATGCCATACCACCGAGAATGAACCGGACCCAATTTGCCGACCAACCAGATAATCCGCCACCACCCGAGTTCCCCCCGTCGAATGAGCCATTCGACCGAAGCCCTAGGAAACTCAAATCGCAATACTCGAGACCGGAACAAAACCCCTCCAACCACCGAAGTTGCAGCTTGAAGATGAAATTTGAAGAACCGCACACGGATTTATTTCCAAGTGGATCAAATCAAATCAAAATTCGCAGTTTCAAATTAAACGTGGAGCTGGAGCAAGATAGAGATATGGGGGGTTGATGCAGGCTTTGATTAAAGCATGAGCAAACGGATAATCGCGATTAACTTGGCTTTGTAATTAACGCGGGATTTGAAATTTTTTAATCGCTCATCATTACTGATATCAGCGAGTTCCTCGATTTGATGGTGCCTTTCTTAATTTCTCCATTTAACTAAAAGACAAGGTTTGGAGCAGCCTATATATATAAACACGCCAATTATAGCCTACAAGCAGCTCCATTGTAAAACTGGTATGCTCTATCAATCGAACGGCATAGAGGACTGATACATGAATCGGATGGCATCCTACCGTTTATCGTGTTTGCCTACTTTTAATTACTGTAAGCTCAAATATCTTTTCTTTCGCTCTACTTTTAAATTATCTTCTTGTTACTTTGGTGCATTTTTTCCATTTAAAATATTAATATTGAATGATAAATGATATATATATATATATATATATATATACATCAACAATAGGTAACCAATCAAATACTAACCCTATATAAATTAAAATTGTTCGAGTGAAATACTTTTTATTTTTTAATGGTTCAAAACATACGTGTGTATAAACACTTAAATTATTTTATTTTTTTACATAAATGAAATTGAAATAAGCAAATTTTTTGTTTTTATGGGTTATTGTAACACGGTGGTAGTGTTTTAAATGGTCTGGATGGTGTGGTTGGTCATCACGTTAATTTTCTATTAATTAATTTAGTATCTCAGAGAATTTTAACAAGCCGTCTGGGTGGTGTAGTTGGTTATCACGCTAGTCTCACACACTAGAGGTCCCCGGTTCGAACCTGGGCTCAGACACAATTGACTTTTGAAATTTTTGTTTTAATATGTATTTCCTTAAAAGCATTTTTAATACCTGAGAGAATTCAAGCAGATTGTCTGGGTGGTGTAGTTGGTTATCACGCTAGTCTCACACACTAGAGGTCCCCGGTTCGAACCCGGGCTCAGACACAATTGATTTGCCGTTTTTAATATCTATTTGGTTTTTGTAATTTTTAGCCCAGAGCATATTAAACAAATCTTCTGGGTGGTGTAGTTGGTCATCACGCTAGTCTCACACACTAGAGGTCCCCGGTTCGAACCCGGGCTCAGACATTTTTTTTGTATTTTATTTTTGGCGCGCCTGGTTTATGTGGCTTACAATTTCTTAGCCTGGTGGGTTTCACCGGCTCTCCTTAAAAAAAAAAAAAAAAAAAAAAAAAAAAAAAGAAAGAAAGAGGAAACCGAAATGCAAAGCGATTTCTTCCCGATCTTTTAATCACAGTCCAAATTAGAATCGCCTTCTCAATATAGTCAAGGCTCGAGACATTTCAGAGCCCACAACTTTCCTTCGTTTCCTTTCTTCTCCTCCGACCCCTTGCTTTCCTTTTAGGGTTTACGCGCTCAATTCCAACTCACAACCAGATCGTCTTCTCAATTCCATTAGTTTAGATTGTCAGCCATGGATTGGGGCAACGTTACTGCAGAGGATCTGATCGACGCGCTTCGAGAGGTTGATTGGTCATCGCCTCCTCGACCTATCTCCGAGTTCTTCTCTAGATTCACGGTCCCCCGATCTTCCGCCAAGTGGAACAGCCGCCTCAAATGCAATCTCTATTAGTATGATTACTCTTTCCTTCAATTTATTCGAGTTACTGTATCTTTTTCTATTCTTAGCCACATTTTTTTTTTCTGAGAGTCATGATTGTTTGAGTGAGAAAGATTTACACATTGCGTAGTGCTTCTAATTGTAGCGCCCTCCATATCGGTTTAGTTCGGTTTCATGAATCGAGTCCATACGGAGCTATTCGCTTTGGAAGCGAAATGGAATTTGATTACGCGGCTGCTTGATTTAGTTAATTTGCTAGTTAATCAAACATGCCGAAATCTATATCTGCATTGCCCATTTTATTTCTTTCAGTTTTCCTAGGAAATCGTGTCGTGAGTAATGCGTGACCAAAATAGTCGATCATGGCCTGTTTTAATTTACTTGTTAGACAAACATGCTGAAACCTATATTATGTTATTTCATTTTGTTGCTATGCAGTGCCTCGTTCACCCTACTAATTTGGAATCTTATTTTCTTGCATTTGCAGTTACCGAACAAACTACTTCATTATGATTGTTTTCATTCTTGGTGAGTGTGTAAACTGTCATATTTCTGCATTATATGCATACATTTCTTCTTATTGTTTAAAAATATGTACAGTTTTCCCTTAACTGTGGATTGTTGATTACAGCCCTGGGTTTTCTACGAAGGCCTCTTGCTATTGTTGCTGCTTTTCTCACAGCACTCAGCATCGCTTTTCTGAATGACAGGTGAGCTGATGGCCTGATATACACACTGCAGATGATAATTAATATCATTAGCCTTTCTTGTGATGGGACTGTCGTTTATTATTTCGCCTCAAGTTTCCTCACATGGGATTGCATATATTTATTCTTCGGTGTTGTTTTCATCAAAATACCTTTCTTTGCGAAACTTGTTATCCAGGGAATCAGGATTTATACGTACAATTTTTTTGCCAACGTATTATGATACTCTTTGTACCAGTTGATCAAGGAGTCGTGTGCCAAAATGTAGATAATATTGTGACGTGCATGGATTCTTTATTTTAACTCCATGTGAAGTTCGTTGTGACTGCCATATTTTTCTTCAAACATAATTTTTTTTTACCACAGTTTTGCAGGCACATTTAGTGAAAAAGTAACCAGAACTGTTAGACAATTCTCTCCACATTTGGCTGCAAAGATGAGACCTCCTCTCACGTAGGTATCTTCATCAATTTCCATGAATGCAACAAGCCATGACTTTTGATTTCATATTTCTTACATAATCTTTCAGGCCTGTTATCCGTGGACGCCCATCAGCTAAAAGAGCAATATACATATGTGGACGTCCTCGATGGGTTTTTGTCTTGATGTTCTCTTCTGGTAAAAAAAAAAAAAAAAAAAAAAAAA